TAAAACGAACATCCCTCTCTGGGATCCTGTTCAATACATAAATGTACTAGCGTAACGAATCGGTCAAGACAAACCGTACGGTTGACACTACAACCGTTCTGATGAGTTGTTCAATTCCATCTTGGTTGTGAACCAACGATTCTTGTTTTGCGAGTAACTGATATAGTGATCTTCGGTACGCCCGATGACGACCCACCTATCTACATGCAAAACAACAGAACGTGGAACTTATTTAACCAAACATAATTCTCATTCATCAAAGAATAACAAGTGTAATATCCACTAAAGCAAAGCTTAAGTATATAACACCAACACCTACAAGGTATAAATTTACTTAAATACCCCGTACCGTACGCGTCGCTCTGCCCCCGCACCCCCGTCTATACCGCGGGGGCTCCGCCACCGCACCCCCGGCCCAACTAATCACTCCACTCCACTCACTTCGCACGGTAGCTCCGCTTTCCTCGCTATGTTCGCTACATTCGCTCCGTTACGCTCGCAGGCATCAGCCTGCCTCCTTCCTATGTCAATATATGAGCCATACCAACAAATCTCCACCTTGATGAATATATCACCTCCTTAGGGGAACACAATAGCGAGCACCTCTGCGAGACACACCAAGCAGGCCGGGGGTACCATGCAACTCTAGCATGCAGAAACATTCTTCAAATCCAAGCAATGCTTGAATTTGTCAGAAGTAACAGTCTTAGTCAACATATCAGCAGCATTCTCTTCAGTATGAACTTTCTCCAACTGAATATCACCAGGAGCAATTCATTCCCTAATCTTGTGGAACCTCACATCAATATGCTTCGTCATAGCATGATATATCTGATTCTTAGCCAAATGAATGGCACTCTGACTGTCACAATGTACTAAAACTCCACCTTGCTGAATACCCAACTCTCTAACCAATCCAGCAAGCCACACTGCTTCTTTTGCCGCTTTAGCCAAAGCAATATACTCAGCTTCAGTTGTAGATAGAGCAACTATAGGCTGAGTATTCGACCTCCAACAAATAGGCCCTCCACCAAGAGTGAAGACATACCCAGTGGTAGATCTCTTATTATCCAAGTCCCCAGCATAATCAGAATCCACATATCCTACAACCAAAGGATCCAACAGCTGATCTTCAAACACAATACCATGACCCGCAGTACCTTTCAAATATCTGAAAATCCATTTGACTGCCTCTCAATGTTGTTTACCCGGCCTGGACATATACTTGCAAACTTGACCAACAACATGAGCTAAATCAGGACGAGTACATACTATGGCATACATCAGACATCCAACAACACTGGCATAAGGTATCTCCACCATATCCTGAGTCTCCTTGTCCGACTTGGGGCACATATCAACAGAAAGCTTGAAGTGGTTTGCTAATGGAGTGCCCACCGGTTTTGCTTCATTCATCCCAAACCTCTGCAGCACCTTCTCCACATAACCCTTCTGAGATAACCACAGCTTCTTTGATCCTCTATCCCTGCGAATTTCCATCCCAAGAATTTTCTTCGCAACCCCCAAATCCTTCATCTCAAATTCTTGACTCAAAAGGCCTTTCAGATCAACAATATCACGCATATTCTTAGCAGCAATAAGCATGTCATCAACATAAAGTAACAAAAAAATAATAGAACCATCACCAAGGCTCTTAGTGTAAACACAACAATCGAACTCACAACGCTTGTAGCCAATCTTCAGCATATACGAATCAAATTGTATATTCCACTGCCGCGATGCTTGCTTCAAGCCATGCAAGTATTTCTTCAACCTGCAAAATAAATGTTTCTTCCCTGGTTGAACAAAACCCTCTGGCTGCTGCATGTAAATAGGCTCTACAAGATCACCATGCAAGAAAACAGTCTTCACATCCATCTGCTCCAAATGCAAATCCCAACTAGCCACCAATGCAAGTACAACCCTTATCAAAGTATGTCTAACCACAGGGGAAAATGTCTCATCATAGTCAATCCCCTTTTGCTGTGAGTATCCTTTAGCCACCAATCGAGCATTGAACCTTTCCCCTCTTTTTTTTGTTACCGATGACTTCCTTGTGTAAATCCACCTACAGCCAATAGCTTTCTTCCCTTTGGGAAGAACATCCACCTCCCATGTCTGATTCTTGTGTACAGAGTTCATCTCTTCTTCCATGGCAGCCTTCCATCTACCATTATTCTCACAAAAAACAGCCTCCTGGAAAGTACAAGGATCCACACTAGTAATCGTAAGAGCAAATGCGACCATATCTTAATAACCAAACCTGACCGGAGCTTGTATATTGGTACGCCTCACTCTATCCCAAGCTAACTTGTAGCTCTCTGGCACATCAGTTGGGCCAGAAACATCATGATCAACATCATCAGGTGCAGTATTCGAACTCTCTCCCTTATCAAGAACTGCTGGAACATGTTCCAACTCCACTTGTACCTTATCTGCATCTGATCCAAACATAGACTGTTCATCAAACACTGCATCTCTACTAATCACCGTCTTCTTCTCAACTGGATCCCAAAACTTGTATCCCTTCACACCTTTCTTATGGCCCAGAAAAGTGTACTTCTTTGATTTAGCATCAAGTTTTAACCTCTCATCAGCAGGAATATGAACATAAGCAGGACAACCAAAAATCTTCAGATGATCAAAACTAACATCATTATTTGTCCATACTTCTTCTGCAACTTTTCCATCCAGAGATGCACGTGGTGATCTGTTAATCAAATAACAAGCCATACTTACACCCTCAGCCCAAAAACTCTTTGGCAAACCCGCAATAAATCTTAAACACCTCGCCCTCACCCAGTGTCCGATTCATCCTCTCAGAAATACCATTCTGTTGTGGTGTTTTACGCACTGTAAAAGGCCTTTGAATCCCATGCTCCTCACAAAACTTCTGGAAATGTGAATCGGTGTACTATGTACCATTATCAGACCTTAAGTAATTGATCTTCCTACCAGTCTGGTTCTCCACCCCAACCTTCCATAACTTGAATTTAGCAAAAACTTCAGATTTATGCTTCATTAAATACACCCAAACTTTCTTCGAAAAATCATCAATAAAGGTCACATATTACACAGAACCACCCATCGATGTCACTCTAGTAGGACCCCACACATCTGAATGTACATAATCCAGAATTCCTTTTGTCTTCTTCTTCCCAGTCTTGAAACTGACTTTTGTTTGCTTTCCTAGAACACAAAACTTGCAGAAATTAAGTTTGAAAGTTTTAAAACCATGCAGAAGCCCCCTCTTATGCAGTTCAGTCATGCCATGTTCACTAAGATGTCCAAGACGCATGTGCCACAATTTCGTGCTATCTTCACACGACTCCACCGAATGGACTCCACCTACAACTGTACTTCCCAACAGTTTGTAAATATTCCCTGCAGTGATCCTCCCTTTCATCACAGTCAAGGCACCTTTGACAATCTTAATGGTTTCTCTATCCTCATCAGCCTTGGGAATGAAACCATTTCTATGCAAAGTACCCAAAGAAAGGAAATTCTTCTTCAACTCAGGGATATGTCTCACATCACATAATGTCCTAACAGTTCCATCATACATCTTGATTTTGACATCCCCAATACCGACAATACCGCAGCATCTATCATCACCAAGAAAAACAGAACCCGAGTTACCTGGTTTATGATTAGCAAACCACTCTTTGTTAGGCGTTATATGATATGAACATCCAGAATTGAGAATCCAAGCATCATCATACTGCGCAGTCGAAATAGATAACATATCTCCATCACTGCAATCAGATTCCTCATTCTGTACCACATTCACAGACTTGGATGACATAGTAGCAGTTTGTTTCTTCCACTTTGGGCAATCCCGTTTAAAGTGCCCTTGTTCTTTTCACTTATAACACGTCACAGTTTTCCTCCCTTGTGATTTGTCTCGCGACTTGGATTTGAAATTCCGATTTCCTGAATTATCTCGCCCCTGTCTTCTTCCACGATCCTAATTACCCTTAACATATAAGCTGTCACTTTGAGAAGATGACTCTCCAGATTTCTGTTTCTGCTGGTTGTGAGCCAACAACGCTGAAGTAATCTCCTCAGTCTTGATCGTTTCTTTCCCATATGTAAGGGTAGTCACCATATGTTCTTAAGAAGGAGGTAACGAACACAGTAAGATCATCGCCTTGTCTTAATCTTCAATCTTGACTTCGAGTGAAGCCAAATCCATGACAACCTGATTGAAGATATTCACATGTTGCCCTAAATCGGTCCCCTCCTGCATCTTCAGCCCGTATACCCTTTGCTTCATATAGAGTTTTGTCGTTAGGGTTTTCGACATGAACTGCGATTCCAGTTTCTTCCAGATCTCATCCGCCGATTTGAGATGCATAACGTGATACATAACTTCATCTGCAAGGCACAACTGAATCGTCCCGGCCGCCTGTTCCTGCAGATCTTGCCAATCATCGTCTTCCATCCCCTTAGGCTTTTTTACGCGCAGCCCTTTCTGAATTCCTTGCTGCCCCAATAAATCTTTTACTCTCGTCTGCCATAATCCTAAATTTCCATGACCATCAAATTTCGAGACCTCGAATTTTGATCCTCCCGTCAACTCTATCGCCCAATCAACCAGACTCTGGTACCACTTGTTGAGAGAAGATGACAATATGACATACGAATTAAAAAACGAGAAAAGTAAACAACACAAGATTTACGTGGTTCGGCAATATGCCTACGTCCATGATGGCTGAGGGATCTTTATTATTCTCAATAGTCTCAAATACATCAATACACCATGTATTTATACTATAACCCTACAAGGTATAAATTTACTTAAATACCCCGTACCGTACCGCGGGGCTCTGCCTCCGCACCCCCGGCCCAACTAATTGACCCAGCCCAACAAGGGCTGATGAGCCATACCAACAAGTCTCGTTCTCTAAATTGTTACAATCACCAAAGATTATCCTTGTGCGGTTCTTGACGCATTTTGTGTCGCGGCGAGCGGCAGGGGTGGGCTGAAGTGCGGTGGGCGGGAAAGGCATTCTCGAAGTCAAAAATCTCCAAATATTGAAAGTAGTCGGAGATAATTCATGGCGCGGCGAACGACGATGGAAGTTTGAGGTCGGCGACATTGGCAGGTCCGGCGTCGGGATCGGTGATGGTGGCGGGGTCTACGACGGGTGACCATGTTGCTGGCGACGGACGATCTTGTCAGCGACCGTGTTGGTGGATGGGAGAGGAAGACCGGCGTTGGAGGTGTGCGTGTGGTGTGTGTTAACTGTGTGTGTGCGTTAGTTGTGGAGAAAAACAAAATCTGATTTGTGTGTGCGTGAATTTATGTGAGAGAGATAAAAGTAGGTAGATAGGTGGGTGTTATTTGAATTACAATATTGCCCTTAATGAATATCAAATAACTAAATTAACTTTAATGAATTTGACTATAATTACTAATATTTGACTCTATCATGACCATTGATATGATGGATCTAATGGTTCACAACCATTCTTATTTCTTTCACTATCTAGCATTCTCATA